CCCGACGCGTGCACTCCTTCATTCGGGAGGAGCATCCCAACCTCACCTCGATGCCCTTCAGTGATCCAGTGGTGCCCGAGGAAGCCGAGCAGAGATCCCTCTACGACACGCTAATTGAGAGTTCCTCCACCATGCCCACCATCCTTCAGCAGCTTGCAGACCATGCACACTTGGAGGAATCCGTCTGCTCCTTCTACTCCACTCTCGTGCTCACTGGAGTCTATCAGGTAAGGAAATAAATCTCTCTCATCCATCTCTCATTATCGTCAGTTTTTGAAATACACAGCACTGCTATTGTCACCATCGAGGTTGTCGCTAATATGGCTACCAGGCGAAATCCTACTTTGGGTCCAAGAAATTGTTTAAATCACCTAATATTTTTGCAACAAATTAGCGCGCCATAACTAAACACAGAAATTTACTTACATTTCTTACTATTTTATAGTTTATTGGGTGTGACAAATTTGGGTATCTTTCGCTTACTTGTGCTTTATAATTTAGTGGGTTTCTTGATATTCCCGAAATAAGAATTTGGTGGTTAGGAGATCGTCTACTCCATCTTACCGTTCTGGAGTTAAATTAGTATAGGTGACGGCGCGAAGCGGTGGAATAAACGGAATACTACATAATTTGTTTTTGTTGACCAAAAGTTATGTGGTGTCAGTGGTGTGGGGTTTCGATTATCTATTTTCGTAATGTTTTTAGGCCTTTGCATGCCGCTTTGGCCCATTTAGTCCTGCTGATATGCCTACGCTAGGCTTGTTCTAACGGTAGCCCAGGTCGAGATATCACCGCCCAATAACGCCTTGTGTAAGTCCCCGAAGGAAGAACACGACAAGAAGTGTGCAACAGCAAAAGTCTTTGAGACTTAAAGGTACAACAAATTTAGGGCAACGAACGTGAGTTAACTAGGTCCACGAACCAATCAGCTTCTCTTCTAGATTGGCTACTGGTGCGATTGGCTATTGACTCGACGGCTGACTGCAACTTGACATTTGAATTATCGACTGATTGACGGCCTGTGTACATTCGCCTGCGTAGGCCGGTCGATAGCCTGCTAGGAGTGCGGCTATGACTTGCAAGCTAATTGTTTGCTAAGGCTGTTCGTTAGGCCGTCCTAACAAGGCTAAACTCTGTTCACTGCTCCCCCC